GCCCGACCTGGCGCTTCGTCGACTTTAGAGCAAACGTGGTTCCCGAGCTCTGTTTAGCCCCACGTTGACTCCAAGCGCGCAAGCTTGTCTGCCGCCCACGGCGTAGAAGTCCGCGCCGAAGTCTCCTCGGCAACGACGCGGTTCGGAGGCGGCCGCCGCCGTCGGTGGACGGGCCGCGCCGATAACGCCGCGAAGTGCCTCGTTCCTTCGCTCGTTCTGATTGCCGAGCGGGCCCCCTCCTGGCGTCGTGGCCCCCGCCCTTCGCGCCTGTGTTAATTGACGGCGTTGTTCGGGCGGCTTCGCGGAGCCATTGAAGCCCCGGCCCTTTCGCAGCGGGCCCCCCGCGCAGTGCGCCGCGTGTCTTTATTGGCCAGCCTGTCCCCCACAGTGGCGCGGCCACCTCCCTCGCCCGTCGCGCGCGTCGGCCTCGCCAGTCGCTGCCCCGCCCAGTCCCGCGCCGCCGCCTTCGCCAATCTCCAGCGCAGCGCGCTCTGGCGTCGCGCGCGCGCGCCACCGCGGCGCCCGCTGCGCCGGGGGGGGGCGCGAGGGTGGCCAGCCTGGGCGCCGCGGCAGATGCGCGACGCAAGTTTATATATATATATATATATATATATATATATATATAACCGTATCACCCGCCCTCTCTGATTTAGTTTAGCCCAGCAGCCCCGAGGGCCGCGCCTGGAACCCCCCGACAATTGCGCGGGTGCTCGCGCACGGGCACCCCGCGCGAGGACTGCGCCCGGTTGCCGCCCCCCCCAGCCATTGCGCTGCAGTTCGCAGCGAAGAGTTCAGTTCAATGAGTCGGCGGGCTGTCAGGGGGGGCAGAGTCGCCCGCCATGCCGCCCCCTGGGATCGCCGAAGTTTATCTTTGCGCGCGCTGTCTTCCGCGCGGGATCGCGTTCGTCCTCGCGCGAGGGTGCCCCCTTCAGGGGCGCAGAGATTTTTCGCCCTTGGAGGCGCGCCCATCTTCGCGGTCGCGCTTTTGCCGGCCCTGCCCCCCCGATTGTGGCGCCCCCCGCCCCTCTTCTTTTTCACCCCTCGCTGCCCCTCGCTTCGCCCTCTTGGTCGTCTGCCCGTGTCTCTTACTTCGCAGCGCGTTCATGCTGTATATTTTCTTCCTGTCTTGCCCTTTTCCCAGATGCTGGCCCTCCTGGTTTGCGATTCTTCTCGGTCCCATCCTTCTTGTCTTCCTCCCCCTGCTCAGCGCCCCCCCCGTCGTCCTCCTCCATGGCCCTGTGCCTGGGCTGCTGCCGGCCGCGGGCCGCCGCGGCGCGCCGCCCCCCCAACGCCCGTCCGCCCTTCTTCCCTGCCCTGGCCCCCCCGCCGCCGCGGCGCGCGGCGGCGGCGGCCCGCCGCGATTGGTCGCGAAGGCAGACGGCCGCGCGCGCGCCCTGGCGCGGCGAAGGGCCGCGCGAAGTGCCGCTTTCGCTCCGCGGCGCGTCGGGGCGCCGCTGGAATCCAGCAGCTGGATGCGCTCGCCGTTCCCGCGAACGGCCGCGCGATTGTCGAACGCGGCCAAACGTCCTCGGGCGGAACTGCCGCGACAAAGTCCGGGGTTCGTGGCCGGGGGCGGCGGCCAGTTTCCATGCGGCGGCCGCCAGTTGAGGGCGGCCCCCCCGACGGTCGCGACGAGCCCGGCGACTGGGGTCGCGGCGCGCATCGCTCGGCCGACGCCGGCGACCGCGGCGCTCGGCCGTCGGGGCCCAAACCGCGGAGTTCCGGCCGCGGCCGGCGGAGGCCCCGGTGGAAGCGCGATTCTGTCGACGCACGTCATCGCGCGCTGCCAGTCTGCCAGTGGCGCCGCCGCACCTGACAAAAAAACACGGGGGCCCAGTTTGGCCCCCCGTCGCCAGAGATGTCTGCGCCCTTCGGCGCGCGCCCGGTTTTTGAGAGGACGGCCCCTGCGAGCGCTTCCTGTGAATATGACGGTTGTCAGGCTGACGGGCTGGACTTCGTCGATCGAGGAGACATCCCAGACAGGGGCGCTTCGCGAGCGCGGCGACGAGGCCGCGGGCCCCCCGCGGCGCGCGTGTCCAGCGCGGGGCGGCGACGAGCTTCAGAACGGCGCGGGCCATCCACGGGGCGACGTCGGGCGTCGGGGGCGCGCCGTTCATATCCGCGGGCGCGCGGGCCACCTACTGGACTGCGCTGGGCGCAGGGCCCGTGCTGGTCATCTTCGGAGCGGCGCCGTTCATCTATGCGGGGCTGAGATTGACTTTCGCGGCGGCGTTGCGCGCGCGGACTGCGATGTTCCTGCGGTACGGGGCGGGGCCGACGTTGTGCGACGTTTGGCTTTGGGGGCGCGCTGGCCCTGTGAGCGCCCACGCGGGCCATCGACAAGACGGCGCCGATCATCCACGCGACGGTCTTCCTGACCTGCTGGGCGTCGTTGCGCGCGGAGGCCGCGTCTTTCATCTGCGCGGCCACGCGGGTCGCGCCCGGGCGGCGCTGCGCGACAAGGGACGAGGCGCGTCGAGACGGCGCGGGCTTTCCATGGGGGCGCGCAGGCATTTTGCGGAACGTCTCGGAGATCCAGGGCAATTTTGGCCATCTACGGGGCCGCGCTGGGCTTCGCGGAAGCGCTCGCCATCTGCGCTGGTTTGCCGGCCATCGGCCGGGCGCCGCTGCCCGCCCTAATCACGCTGAGCATCGACAGGGTGGCGGCAGTCTCCTAGGCGACGCTCCATTTGACATTCGGAGCGGTGCTGAGCATGGGAGACGCGCTGAATTCCTCTGTCGGCATGCGAGTCATATTCGGGGCGGCGCTGGTCTTTCAATTGCTGGCGCTGGGCTTCGCGGCGGTGCCGAGCATCTGCGCGCCGCCCAATCGGTCGGGGCGCTCGTTCATCTAGGCCCTGATGGAAATTGCCATGAAGGGCGCCGGGCGAATGGGCATGACAGGCGCGGCTGGTTTCGCCCCTGCCACGCGCTGCGGATGCAGATTGCGGAATTCAGCCAGTTCCAGCACCAAAAGTACCAGGAACGCCAGATGGCAGCGAAGGAGGCGTTTGAAGGACAAGTCCGTTCGATGAGGTCGCGTGCTCTCTTCTCTTTCGCGTCGGCCGCGGCGTCGCCTGTCGTCGCTCCGCCCCGCCGCCCGCATAAGCCGACTCCTTTGGCGGCGCGGACGAGCTCGGCCACCAGGCCGGGCCCTCTTTGTGGACGTTGGGCCACCACCTCGGGGCATGCACCTTGGAGGTGGCGCGATGGAACCGCGCCCCCCCCATTCCTCGTCCTGTCGGGGCCAGCGCTTCGCAGTAAAAGTCAGGGCATCTTGAGCGCAGCCACTGCTTGGAGGGTAGGGGCGATTGGTTGTGAGGAGGGGGGGCTGGAAAGGAGGAGGTGGCAGAGGATGGGGGCCCGACGCGAGGCCAGCATGAGGGGCAGCGGGGCGATGCAGAGTAGAGCAGGTTTCTTCGTTGCGTCCTGTTCCCCCGTTGGGTCGCCTCCGTGTTTTTTGTTCTCGGCCCATCGCGCTGTCGTGTATGCGCGTTGGCCATTGCATTCCCCCCTCGGCCTCCCTTTTCCTATCTTTTTTCCTCCCGGGGCCCTTTCGTTCCGTCGTCGCTTTCCGCACGAACTGAGGACATCAAACCTATGAGTTTCGGGGGGGGGGGCCTCGTCCTCCTCCTCCTCCTCCTCCTCCTCCTCCTCCTCCTCCTCCTCCTCGTCCTCCTCCTCCGCCTCCTTCTCCTCGTCGTCCGTCTCCTTCTCCTCGTCCTCCTCCTCCCTCTCCTCCGCCTCCTCCTGATCCCCCCCATGCCTTCTCGCTCCGCCATTACCCATTACTTTCCGTACCTGCTCTTATGTATTTGCCTCTTCGTAGCCTTTATGCTTTCTTAGTCGGTATTATTCCTGGGGTAGTTGCGCGACCGATGCCTCCTCACCGCGCTCACCAGTTGCACGTTCGTTTGTCCAGCTTGGGTCTTTTGGCTGTCGAAGCTTATCATTACCGACGCGTTGAATAGAGCGCGTCCGGCCACTGCTGACAAGAATGGCTCACTCCCCAGAAGACGGGGGGTCCAGAACCCCGATCCTTCCCCCCCTCCGCCCCCCCCCTCCGGGAAAAAAACATTCGCAGGGGCCCCGGAAACCCATCACCACTCGGGGCAGTTATTCAAAGGGGCCGGGACCTCCCCCAAGGAAATTATTCGGATGGGTCAAGAGAGCCCCTTCCTCCCCCCCTTCCCCCGGGCAAAAATGACGACGATGACGACGACGAGACGATGATGACGCTGACGCGACGACGATGACGACGATGCGGCGACCATGACGACGACGACGTCGACGACGAGTCGACGACGACCACATTGGCAAAGAGAACGGACGGCGACGACGACGACGCCGACGATGACGCCGAGGACAGCATCAATGACAATTACGACGACGACAACAAGGACGTCGACGACGACGACGTTTGCCTTTGCCGCTCTCATCGGACATCAGGCCGCGCCCGAGAGGGCAACATGGAGATCTCGCCGCAGCACCGTGCGCGATTTTTTGGTTGTTGTTGTCCCGCGACCGTCCGTGCGCGGCCTGTGCCCGTGCCTCCCCGCAGGCCGTCCGAGGCGCGACCGCGCACGGGCGCCTTCGGTCTCGCTGGGCGGGGGCGCGCGCCAGCTTCATGACCCAGCTGCGCCCGCCGAGTTTCCGTTTCTTGTCGGAGGAAGCGTGGGGGTGGGCGGGGCCCGCTGACCCGTTCGACTGGGAGAACTCGATTCCGCTCTTCCCGCTCCCCCTCCGCTTCCCGCGGCGGCGGCCACGACCTCGCCCTCTGCAGCGTTCCTGCGAGCACGACCCCCGCAAGGACGACGGTGCCCCGCCACCACGACGACGACTACGAACGAGGACGGCCACAATGCTACGATGACGCTCTTACATGAGATGGACATGGCGACGCGGCGCCGACGACGAATGTCGAACGGTCTGACGATCGACGATGAACGACCGACGACGACGATCGACGAGCAACGGCGACGGCGCTGCGGTGCGCGCAGCCACTTCGAGAACGGCACGGCCCTCCACACGCGCGCTGGAACGGCGTATTACGTGGCCCCGCAGGTGCTGGCGGGCAGGCTCGCCGGGGCCGTTGTGGGCGGCAGAGGGTGGCGCAGCGACGGGGAGGCGCGCGGAGCAGGGCACGGGGGAATGCAGGGAGAGGCAGGGGGACGAGGAGGAGGAGGAGGAAGGGGACAGGGATGACGAGGAAGACGAGGAGAACGAGGAGGACGAGGAGGAAGAGGAGGAGGAGGAAAGGGAGGAGGAGGAGGAGGAGGAAAAGGAGGAGGAGGAGGACGAGGAGGAGGAGGAAGGGGAACAGGATCAAGAGTAGAACAATGATTAGAAGCACCATGTGAATGTGGACATGGAGAATGATGGTTGCGATGCTGCTGCTGGTGATTCGTAGGAGGAGGGGCGGTCGGAGGAGGGGAACGGAGCAAAGTAAAGGGGTAGCAAGGACACGGTGGAGAAGCAGCAGCATAGTTGGCCAGGAGGGGGGTGGAGAGGTCGTCAAAGGGAAGGATATGAAGGAGAGACGATGAGGGTGAGGAGAGGATGAGGGTAGGAGGAGTGGGAGGACCAGGTGAGGACGTTGGGAGGATAAGGGGACCGAGGACGACGACGAGGACGACGATGGGATTGACAGTGGCCGTGCAGATACGACCGCATGTGCGACCTCTGGAGCGCCGGCGTCATCATGCACGCCTGCCCCTCGCCTCCTTCGTCATCATCGGCGTTGTGGTCGTCGGGGTTGGTGTCACCGTTGGTGGAATTTGTGTCGGCATCGCCGAGGAGCACGAGCACGAGCTGGAAGTTCAGGGAGAGAGGCAGGGGGAAGCAGGAGGAGACAGAGAGCAGAGCGACGAGAAGGACCAGGAGGAGAAGAGGCATGAAGAATTGGAAGCCCAGGAACAGAATAAGTTTAATAAGGAGCAAACTGATAAAGCGAAGGATAAGAAAAAGACCAAGCAACAGGTTACAGAGAAAGGGCAAGTAAAAAAGATAAGAAAAGGGAGGAGGAGGAGGAGGAGAGGGATTTGCATTAGGTTTTGGAGGAGTATGATGATGATTCGGAGGAGGTGGTCGACGAAGGGCTCTAGGGCTCCGGAGGGCCGAGTGTTCAGCGCTCCGCGGAGTTCTTTGTAGACCCTCGGAAGCGAAACGGTGACCAACAACACCTCAAAATATTTGATTACCGGTTTTCTGTATTCAAGGACCCGCACCAGCAGAGGGAGAGGAGAAAAGAGATGGTGCAGGTATGCTAGGTGCACAAGCGCCATATCCGACATCAGCATCCGACCCCTCTCGCCCATCCCTTCCCATTGCGCTTGTAGGGGCAAGCAGGAAAAGACAACAACCAAAAAGCAGTCAGATCCAAACAGGTAGCTCGCACTTTGTCGAGGGCTCAATTCTGAACCATACATCGGGGAGCCCAGCGCCGATTCTAGAATTCGGCCCGCTCTCCAGCGACAGCACCGTTTTCAGGCACCGAAGGGGATCGATTGAAAATTGCCATTGGAAGCGCAAGCTTTTGAAATCTTCTGTGCGCAAAAGAAGTACGGGAAGGGGGTCGTTCAACTTCCCCGCCATCTTCAGGGGAGGAAGGAGATCAGATGTCTTATCAAGCTGGCTGCGCTTGCGCCAGTTCCGGTATCCGACCCCTCCACCCCGTCCCTTCGCATGGCGCTGATTGTTTTTTATCCGCCGACACCTGTAATTGCGGACCTGGAGTTCCACAACGGACCCCATCGTGTCTAGCGCAATGTCGCGAGGGGAGCTGCGTACATTGGAGGAGGAGGCGGCCGATGAGCAGGAGGATGAGCAGGCGGAAGGGGGCGAAGGATGAGGAAGAAGGAGGACAAGGAGGAACAGCAGCAGCAGCAGAAAATGGACTGGGAGAAGCTGGACGACAACGGCAAGGAAGCGTTCGGATCCAGAAAAGTGGCCCGCGCTGGTGCGAGGGCGCCAGTGTGACCCCTTGAAGCACAGCGCCGATCCTAAAATTCGGCCCACGCTCCAGCGATACCAAACTTTCGAGACACCGAAAACAGTCCGATTGCAAACAGCCATCCGAACATGTTTCACCTCGGCCAATCTCAGGGGGGAGAGAGAAAGAGAGAGAGAGAGAGAGGCGAGTAGAATTCAGATTGAGACATTGCCAGGTAATCGTGAAGGGTAGGCTAGAGAGGGGGACGTGGAGCGCCCCCCTTGAATGACGAATGTTCCATGGGCCGGCACCCAGGTGAGACTCCATGTGGTTAAGGACTCACCCTCCAGAAACGCAAAGAGGCTTATTGTTAGTGTTGTTGCCAGATGTGTCTAGCCATCTCCCACTTTGAGATGCATCTGCCCTCCATCTGTGAAGGCTCTGCCCCAATTCTGAACTCTTGTCTTACACCCCGGGGAAGTCTCAAGCGAGAGCCCCATGATGAGAAGGAGCCGTTCCGCATCCGTGTAGTTCGTGCCCAATGTGGAACATCGTGTCACAGAGTCCAAGGCAAACTAAAGCAGGAGCGGCATTTTAATGGTTACCCAGTCTGTGCAGTTGTTACGAAGACGCGATTGTGCGGGGCGTTAATGCCAAAGCCGCTTTGTGAGTACAACCAGATCTCCAACCGTGCATTTGCTGCTCGAACTGTTCAAATGACGAGTGTGCGTGGCGGTAAGGCGAGGGCCAAATTTTGAAAACGGCAAGGCCTCCATCCGTGTACCTGCGAGAAGCTTCTAAGAATATTGCCCGCGGCGCTAAGTTGAGAGCCGGATGTTGTCACCGAGGGCCACCCATTCTTTGTAGCTGGGTGAGGCGCCCTGCCCAGCCCATGGGCACGTCTGATGGTGCAACGGGGCAGAGCTCTGCACATGGAGGCAGGATGAGGTTGCAGGAACAGGAGACATGGCAGGAGGAGGAAGAGGACCAGTCCAAAGCCCAGGTGCAGCAAAGATGCCCCAATCAACCTTTCCTCCAAGTTCCGTCTTCATAAGGCCTTGCGAGGATTTCCCACTGGAAGACAACCGTCTCGGAGTCCTCAGCCGCGCCAAATCAGAATTCATGCGACTTCTGCGCCTTCAAGCAACGTGTCTCTTGCGCCCTGACGAGCCTCAATCGTGCCAGCATGCCTTTCATGGCAATTCAACGCCGCGAGCCAAGGTGAATATTGCGTCATGCCAACCATTCATCACGCCCGCACGCCAGCACGCTTGTTCTGGAACTCCAGCAATGCGCGGCCTTGAAGTGTTGCGAACTTTGAAACGCATGCGCGCGGCGCTAGGGCGACAACCACATGTTGAAGAAGAGCCGCCCTCCATCCTTGAAGCTGCTGCAAACCTTTAAGACGAGTATGCGCGGCGCCGAGGCGAGAGCCCTCGTTTGAACATCGCCCGCCCTCCCGTCGCAAAGCTGGTCCAGGCGTCAAACCACAACCCGCGCAACGCTCCGGCGAGCGCAGCTGCGTGAACACGTCCCGCCCTCCACCCTGGAAGCGGCTGCAGTTGTCTACGCAATAGGAACGGCGCTGCGGCGCTGCGGCGAGAGCAGCATGCTGAAGACCTCCCGCCCTCCTTCCCGTAAATCGGTTGCGAGTTACAGGTCTCGGGATCGGAAGCGGTGGGGAAGTCGCGGGCGAGACGCCCGGCCCTCCCTACCGACACATGTAGGCGTGCGGCATGGAGGAGTTTTGTACAAGGGAAAGGGCATGGAGAAGGAGTGGCAGCAGGGTGAGAGAGAAGAACGACGAGGAAATGACAGAAACATCATGCTGGAGAGAAGAAGGGTGCCGAGGGCGAGGGCGAGGGCGGGGGGATGGTTCATGCCGTGGGGGGCGGGGAAGGAGGCAAAGGAGTAAGTAGTGGAGTGGTACAACGTAGGCGATACAATAAAAAGGGGTCGATCGTATTCTGAGACACGTCGTTGACGGCCAAACCAGAACGAAAACAATGAGGATGGGGATCGCCTTGCCTCCAAACGTTGAGGGCTTCCCGCCCGCTCGCTAGTTTTACACCTGCGCGTCACATGAGTGAACACTGGCTGTTTCCCAACTGATGGAAAGGTAGACTCCTCTCTTTGCACCCGGCCTGGAAGGAGGAGAACGAGGAGCAGGAGGAGGACGACTGCTCATGCCCGCCGGCGGACGCGCGCGCGGGACAAGACAAAATGTTTGGAACGAGGGACAAGAGGAGGAGGAGCAGGAGGAGGAGGAGCAGGAGGAGGAGGAGGAGGAGGAGAAGGAGGAGGAGGAGGAGGAGGGGGGCGAGAAGGGCGAGGAGGAGGAGGAGGAGGCCAGGGCCCCGTCTTCCTGTCTGCGGGGGCAGGGGCATGAAGAAAAACATGGGGACGATGGAGGGAAAGCTGGGCGGAAATGGGGGGGACAGACAGGGAGGGTAAAGGGGGAGAGGCGGAAGGAGAGAAGGGTGGAGGAGGGCAGAAGGATGCGGGGCCCGAGCCGTCTCTGCTCGCTCTCGCGTTCGGTACCGTCACCACCATCGTCATCATCATCACCATCATCATCATCATTATCATCATCATCATCATCATCAGCATCACCATCATCATCATCATCAACCTCACCATCATCATCATCATTATCATCATCATCATCATCAGCATCATCATCATCATCATCATCACCACTGCCTCGATCACCACTTACCACCACGGTCTGGAGTCGGTCAACCCTGCTCGAAGCCAAAACCGCCACGGCCGCCACCGCCGCGGCCACCACCGCCTCGTTAGCTGCCAACACCTGCGCCATCACGATCGCCGTCGTCGTCGCTGTCACGGTCGCCGCTGCTGTGGGCGGAGCCGCAGCCAGCCTCCGGCTCCCCCTACGAGGTACACGATCTTGTGCGGCTACCCCCCGTTCTACGGGGACTCCGACGAGCAGGCCTGCGGCCGTGTCGGGGATCCTTCCCACGGGCGTCTCCGTCCAACGTGTCCTCTCCGTTGGAGGAGGAGGAGGAGGAGGAGGAGGAGGAGGAGGAGGAGGGG